CACAATATATTGCCGATAATTATTGGGATTTCTTTTGGTAACAAATTTCACACTTTTTTCGAATTATTTGGAGTTAAATATTACAGAAAAAAATCTCGATATTTGATAAATGATACATATATAAAAAAATATTATTTTTCAATCAACCCACAAAGCCTTACTAAATTAAATTGTAACAAACTCTATTAATTTTGGTATACATTATGTCACATTGATAAGCATGATCTTATTTCTTATGCTAATCCGATCTTTTTTAAGTTGATATTTTGTAACTATACCTCTTCTATGGGTTTGTGTAATGAGACACGATTGATTGTGACAAAGTTCTTCACTCACGTTCTCAGGTGTAAGATATTCACTAGCGATCACGCAGGTGATAATTTGTTAATTTCAAGAATGACTATAACTCCTGCTGATGTTAGAATTCCTTTCAAAATCCAACGTTGGTAGTTTTCCATTATGGTTTATTATGTCATGACTATAAATAAGAGCAGGGACAATCATTTGTATGTGGGCTTATTTCTTAAGAAACCAGATGGCCAGTTGTCTGTTGTTGTCTCCCGTGTCACAAACATAAATGGTTTGAAAATCCTAATTTGTGGCGACGATGGTGTGCCAAATAATCAAACCATGAACGTTGTATATAAGACAATATTAAGTAATATATAAATTTTACTTTTATTATATTTATTAATTTCTTAATTATTAATTATATGATCTTTCTTTTAGTAGGTACTTTGAATTTTACTGAAAATTGCTTTTTAAAAGGGACGTAAATAATAAACCCTGTGCATCGCACAGGTACTGTACTAGTTATAATCTAAAGAGATAACCCAATAAACCTTGAAATAGTAACTAAAAAAATTAGGATTTCCACCTAAAAATTTATTAAACATAGTAACTTTTTCTGAAAAGTTTTGGAAATCCCGCCCAAACATAATTTAAAATTTTCAGTCAAAAAATTAAATATAAACATTTAAGGAAAGGATTGACTAAAATTTTTTTTTTATATATATTCTATCTTTATTTTAAGTTCCATATAATGTCTTCATTGTAACTCAAGGTTAATGTACAATAAATATTTATCATTTTACACACACACACACACACACACACACACACATATATATATATATATATATATATATCCCCTATATATAATTTCCGAATGCGCTGAGTCTACGTGGCTGCTTCTGATGCTTCGGAATCCTACTTGGCGAAGAATCATGCTTCGTAATATTTAGGTGTGGACAAATAATATTGATAGATTAATAATTAATAATCTAGGTTCGGATATTCCATAAATATTATTTAGCTAACTTAGGTATTTTAATATCGCTTGTACTAATATAATCCTTTAATTATTTATAATTTTACATAGTGAGACACTAAGTGACTAATATATCCCAGACTTTTAATTTGTTCTTCAATTAGCTATTGAATTATAAATGTATTTTAAAAGTTGATAATTTTTGTATTTTTTATCGGTTTTACATATATAATATATCAAATTAATAATCTTTTCATGATCTTCGATTTGACATTCATATTGTATATATAAAATAAATAAATTATATTTATCTTTATAATAATAAAAAATAATAATATTTATTAGAAAAACAAAATTATTTTTCAGTTGATATATTTATGTTTAATGTAGTTATATGTTGTAAGTTAAAAAAATTATTATAATATAACACAAGTAAGTCACAAATAAAAAATGTCATACTAAATATATAATAATATATATATATATATATTTATAAAAGGTATTTAAATTTTCAACTACTTTTTCTCATTAATTTTAGATTTTAAAGAAAAAATTAGCAAGCACTCGTGTAATACACGGACCTTGTACTAGTATATATATATATATATATATATATATAAGAATACTATTTCTATAAGTGTTATGAATAATAATAATAATGACATTTTATATGACAATAAATTTTAGAATATAATAATATTTTGAGTATTATGATGAACCAAAATGAGTAAAATTGTTATTATTTTTTTTATCAAAAAACAAATACGTGTTAAAATATTATTTTTATTAATATAAATGGTTTAGCGGGCTAATATAACATTAAAATAAATGTTTTTCTAAAAAAAATTATGATACAAAACTTTTCGTGCATCGTAAGGGATGCTTACCAGTTATTCATAAAAAAACACAATAAAAAAGCATGACGCTATAAAAAAACGAACTCAGGCATACAAGTTCAAGCTCAGGTCATTATATTTCAATTCATGTTTTATTCCAATAGATGAATACACGTGTACAATAGCGACGTCATCACGGACACAGACACAGACACAGACCATTCCTCCATTGAATGAAACGTGAACTGAAATACAGTTTTATAACCACAAGTCTTACCTCTTTGAATCGATATGTTCATTGTAGACTTGTAGTAGCCACATATTAACGACAAATGCTCCAATTTGGGACTTTTTTTTGGATCTTCTTTGTTATGTTTAATGATTGATAAATTAATGTACCGTTTTGGTAAAAAAAAAGATCAACTGAGAAAAAAAAAAATGATTTTTTGCCAAAAAAAAAGGCATCGTTGAGCATTCTCATTTAACTTTGATCGATAGAAATTTTCTTAATTAATTCATGGCCTATTAAATTCGTAACTTTTTTTTTTTAAAAAAAAAAAAAGATAAAGGAACATCACTACTATGAAAGTTTATCCAAAAGAAGTCGTAGTGGTTTTTTTTTGGAAGCCAGCCACATAGCTATGCCCCAATTAATCCGTTGTTCGACCTGAGTCGCAAATCTTGCAGTGGTGAGTGAGTCTCCCAACAAGGGTTTTCTGCACTCATAAAGACTCGAACCTAAAACCTTGCTTAAGCAGAATCAAGCTGCTTACCACTTGAGCCAACCCTTGTTGGTTAGTCGTATTGGATTCAACTAATCATTAAGGTCCCGTAATTTTTAAAATTGACCCATATTTTTTAGGACAGTTTCAGCTGGAATTCTAAAATCTTTTTTGATTTCTGAAATTGAATTTGCCCCATGTACTACTGGATTTACTATTTAATTTATTCTATTGTGTGAAGATTCTTCACTTAGAACTTTTATTTTATTTATTTTTAATTATCAAATACAGATATGGCGAGACAAGAGATTGGGATATATCAAACAAATTAAAATGAACCCCCTACGCATGCACAAAACATGTAATACTTATCAATATAAACACTAAATTAGCTGATGATATTGTACACTTGTTATTAATTGCTGGCTTGCCACGTGGAATTAGACGTATTTTTTGTGGACATGAAATACTTGAGCAAAACATGGGACTTGTGATTTGTAGTTGTTGAGGTTTTCATAAGGTTGGTGATTTTTTGTTTTTTTTGTTTTTTTTTTTTTTTTGTCAAACCTATATTTGGCCTCATAAATGACGTACATTGTTAGTTATATGATATCATGGATTAGCTCGACAGCCCGTTTGAGTCGTGTGATTTAGATGTCGATAGTTTGCAACAAGATAACCAGATTGTGCAGAGGGCTCAGATTGTAATCCAACGATTGCTCGAGTTGGAGGTTTTAACATGATTTAACCAATCGAGCGAACAAGATGATTGATTGAAGTGACAAAATAGTTTGATTTAAGTAGAGTTTATTTCCACCAAATGACTTAAAAATATAATTTTTTTGTATGTGACCATCTACCCACTAAACGAGTTGACCATCACATTTAATTTAATAAAAATGAATATTTAATCTATAAAATACCATATTTTTGTTTATATTATTTTTTGGAGTATAACAATATTTCAATTAAAAAAAATACATATATCTATTAAAAAAGTAGATTAACATACCTTTAGATTTTAGACCCATACACAAAGAATGAACTAAATAAAATGATGTAGAAGATTATTCATTAACAAAGAAAGGCATGTAGGCTTGTAGCTTGATGACATAAACAAAAAATGACCAAAATCAGTGAATCATGTTGAATCATCGACATTGTCCCCAAATGGGACAAATTAATGTTGATTGGGCCCTTTATCGTAAGCCTCATCCTTATATATTGTCATTGTTAGCCTCAATTTACCAATAAATTGATTGGCAAAACTTTCATGTTTGGCAAACTTTCATGTTTGGCAAAACACGCATTCTCAACTACAAATACAGATACCATATATAATGTTTGAGAGATGTTATCCGTCGAAGTTTGTAACCGTTAGATCAACTATTTCCAACGGTTACAAACTCCAACAGAATAGTTTCGTAACGAGACTGTAACATTTTTCATAATTGTTTAGCTATTTACCAAACGTTCATTTAGAAGCTTTTGACTAATTAATTCGATTAGAGATGTGTTAGTCAAGTCAACTAATATAAGCCACTATCAGTTATCCGTTCGAAAATAATAGCCAAACAAACTCGCCTATATATATATACATGATCTAACCAAACTAGAAAATATTTCTTGAACATATAACACCAACATACACCTCAAGCTTCCGTTCTCTTACGTACACGCTCTCAAGCTTTTGCTCGCTCACCCTAGAGATCACAGCTTTGGAAGAAGAACAATTGAATATCCGTTGCAGGATTACGTTTCTTCTTTGTTCCCGATTGATTGGTAAGAAGAAAACAAAAAAAAAATAAAATAAAAAAAAATACAAAACCTATTTAATATTTTTTTTTTAGTTTTTTTATTTTTTTTAAAGTTACATCATATGTTCTTCTTTAGTGATGCTCTTAATTAGGCTTCTAATTAGGCTGCCCAACCATAATACATTTTCAGCAAATTTCATATATTTTCATACTCAATTGAAAAACAAAACATTTCATATTATAGTTGTTGACTTCTTGTTAAGGAAAAATGATTATCTAACTATTAAACAGTCTCACGTAAAATCTATGTTAGCTTCTATTTATTACAACATTATTATTATTATTATTTTTATTTTTATTTTCCTTATCTTGAACTCATGAACTTCAAATTCTAGCTGCAGATAACCAGAAAGCCATGCAATGTCAAAAGAGCCTCAACGTTAACGAGGAATACCTATGCGCCATCCGAACAAAATCGTTCGCCGATTGCTTCACGAAATTCCAATTGCTCGTAGACGAGCAACCATTGCCATCGCAGCCAACCGGAAGGTTCCATTCCGAATTCTCGGAAGTTCTTCTCCAACCAGGCCGTGAAGCCATAGCCTCAATCTTCGACTCATCTTCTCTTTTCTCAAAATCAACAACATTATTCAAAGGCCTAAAATCACTCCTACTCGATTACTTCGAGACCAGCGCCGAGTCCTCCGATTTCTGCAGCCGCCTCCTCGAAACCCTAGCCCACCTCCGATCCGACTGCAGGTCCACCGCCGGAATCATCGATGCCGCTGCCGACGGCGGCGGCGACCTCCTTTCCCGTGCCTACCTGCAGAACCCTTTTCCTAATCTTAACAGGCAATACGTCGAACACCTTCGGGGCAGGCACTCTTCGGTCCTGCGCCGCCTGAGATCCGGCCGGAGCCAGGCGGCGTGGAGGTTCAAACTGGCGAGGCTCCTCAAACGAGTCTCCACCGTGGGATCCGCGGTCCTCGGGATTCCGGCCGGGGAGCCGGGGCGGTTCGATGTCCGGTTCATGGGGAGGGCCGCCGGGCAGCTGGACGCGGCAGCGAAGGGAGCGTACATACTGAGCCGGGATTTCGAAACGATGAGCCGGCTCGCGGGTCGGGTCGGGGACGAGGTGGAGCACGGCAAGGCGATGATAAGGCTGTGTTTGGATCGGAGGGAGGATAAGGTTTGTTTGCTGGCTTTGAAGGAGATGAGGAAGGATGGGTTCGGGCTGAGGAGGCGGGTGGAGGAGCTTGAGGAGCATGTTTATTTGTGCCTCGTCACGATTAATCGGGCTCGGGCCATGCTGGCTAAAGAAATTTCCATGGATGTTGGGTAGAAAAAAAAATAAAAATAAAAATAAAAATTGGCATTTTAGAGATTTTGGATTTTAATTTTTTTATTAGGAATTTGTAGGATGTGTGTAAAATTGTGATTATTTTCCTAATTTCTTTATATTAGATTTTAGGAGCTCTTGTTTTATTACGCCCGTCTTGTTCAAAATCAAGTGAAAATGGTGAAATTCGATTTAGTTTGTATTGAAAAAAAAAATGTTGTATAAAATTCATTTTAGGAGTAAGCTCAATAAATTAACTTGTAATTTTGATTAACTTATAAATTTATTCTATTAAAAAAAAATTATTATGTGGATTCTTTTTTCTCAAGTTCGAGCAAGCCGTTTGTGGTAAAACTAGTGTGGTACTCGTGCAATACAAGTAATAGTTTTATTAAGGTAAACATTTAGAGATTTAGATGATTAGATTATTGGAATAAAACAAAATGTAACTTATACATTATTAAACAAATCATTGTATACAATATTATTTGTTTGGTTTTTTGTACATCGTCTATCACATTGTAAAACATCTTTCTTGATAAACTATAGCCTTATTATTTTAAAATTTTAAATTACTCAATTTAAGGAAGAGAACAAATGTTTAAGTGTATGCAATCAATTTTAAATTTGTATTCTAGAGGATTAAACAAAAAATAAATTTTAAGGATGTTCTAGTTCGATTTTACTTTGAATTTCAAATTAATATTATTTAATTCCGTTTTATGTTTAAAAAATCCAAACTAAAGATAGTACGTAGTAGCCAAATGATATGTAATTTTTTAATTTTAATTTCCAATTTGAAATTGGGCCCAATTTCTATGCAATCCGATATATTTTTTTAAAATAAACATGATTTGTTGCAATTAGATAAATATACATGTTATAGTATTTTGCCTAATTCGAAATTCTCGATTTTATGGTAAATAATTTTTTTAATAAAAAATGAGAGAATTTTGTCTTTTACAAAATTATCGTGCCGAAATTTACCTCAATTAACTCGATTTCTATGAAATCCGATTTTTTTTTATAAATAATTGATGTGTTAGCAATAAGAAAAAGATATTTATGATAACATTTTGCCTAATTCGAAGCTCTCGATATTATGGTAATCAATTTTTTTTAATAAAAATGAGAAAGAATTTTGATTTTTGCAAAATTGTAAGCATTAGTCTAAATTTACCTAAATTAAATCCACAAAACTCATGAATTTATAATTCATATATAGCAGATCGATTTTTTAGAATAATTTAAAAAGAAAATTAAAAAACTGCCAAAAATAAAATTAAATAAATGATGGTTGACTTATTTGTTACTATTTTTGGTAATAAGTTCTCTATTTATATAGATATAGATATAGATGTGTGGGTAGATGAACTTGATAAAAATATTTGAGCTTATTATCTAGCTTTTCAAAAAGCCATTCAAATTTTTATTTCTCACTTATTAATTAATTCTCTTTATCATTTTTATTATCTTTTTGACTAGCTACTATAAGTTCAAAATTAATTACTATCTATAAACTATTTAATTATCTATTAGTTAAAATTTCACATAAGTTTACTAAACATATCTTTATTGTGTTAGCTAGCTTTCAAAAATTATTCATCAAATTAACTTATGAGTTATATCACTTAAGGTGTTAGGTATCAAATATTTTTTCCCGTTTAATCTAGCTATTTTTTTTCAAACAATAAGCTTCATTAAAAACACGTAATTAAAGACTAGAAAGCAGCCGAATATCAATTACTCGGTTTAATCTAGTTGGGAGGAATAAATAACCCCATTGGCCGCTAGCCCAAGATATCCTAAAACAAACCTAAACACAGAAAAAACAACACTACAAAACTCACAACATGAGAATAAAACACATAACTAAAAACACAACTAACCACAAAAACTAAAACACACAAACAAAACGGAAAAACAGAACAAAAAAAAGGCAACAAAATCTAACGTCCTTCCCTCCAAACAAGAACACCAAACACCAACACAACCCGAGCTAACAACCAAATGCGAAACTCGAGAGTAGCTACTAGAACTACAACCCAAACACAACGGCACCGATAACTCCCCTAACGAGCTAACTAGAACTGGACTACAGATCCAACAATTGCCCTCGAAAATCCGTAGATCCGCCTATGCCGGTCCACTCCACAGCCCATCCCATGTACACATCGGAGCCCACACGCAGCCACGCTCGTGCCACGGGAGGACCGAACTTTCCCAACACTAGAGAAAGCCAGAGAGTGAAGAACTAAGGCTAGACCACCGCCATGAACCTCCGCAAAGAAGCTCTTGACGTCCGCCAAAGCCCAACCTCCGGCAAAACCCCACGCTACTCGTTCACCATGGCACTCGGTAAGAGAGACAACCCACTTCAGGAGGAAGGAACGAGTGCTCGCCGGCAAGCCCAGGTCGAACCAGCTGCTCGCCGTGGCCGCATGAACTAGGGCCGCCAGAGGGGAGGCACAACTACGGAGGTGGAAGACTAGGGTTCAAGGGATAAGATTTAGGGATTTTTCGCTCCCTTGTTTGATAATCTATCGAACATGTAATTAATTTGTAAAATAATATATGTAAATGAGTACAACACCCGTGTATTATAAAACACTATAATTTATACTTAGGCTAAGTTTGGTTAAACTAGCTGATAAGTTAGCTTATAGTTTATCAGTAATTTTTTAGCTTAAAGCTTATGACTTATAGGTGAAAAACTAGCTTATATAATAAAAGTGTTTGGTAAAATTAGCTGATAAACTAGCTGAAATAAAAAAAAAATCAACCAGATTATTTGAAAAGATACCTAAGGAAGTTGATGCAGACCCTAGTAAGATATTGTCCGCTTTGGGCTACTTCCGCCACCCGCACGGCTTTGTTCTTGGCTGGGCTTCAATACACACCCACCAAAACGCGTCTTACTAGTGAAGGTATCCACATCCTCATATAAGGCCTGCTTCGTTTCCTTTCAAACCCGATGTGGGATGCACTGCATCATCCACCCCCCCCTTGTGGGCCCAACGGTCATCGCTGGCACATGGGCTGGCTCTGATACCAACTGATGCAGACCCTAGGAAGATATTGTCCGCTTTGGGCTACTTCCGCCACCCGCACAGCTTTGTTCTTGGCTGGGCTTCAATACACACCCACCAAAACGCGTCTTACTAGTGAAGGTATCCACATCCTCATATAAGGCCTGCTTCGTTTCCTTTCAAACCCGATGTGGGATGCACTGCATCATCCACCCCCCCTTGTGGGCCCAGCGGTCACCGCTGGCACATGGGCTGGCTCTGATACCAACTGGTGCAGACCCTAGTAAGATATTGTCCGCTTTGGGCTACTTCCGCCACCCGCACGACTTTGTTCTTGGCTGGGCTTCAATACACACCCACCAAAACGCGTCTTACTATTCGTTTCTTTTCAAACCCGATGTGGGATGCGCTGCATCATCCACCCCCCTTGTGGGCCCAACGGTCACCGCTGGCACATGGGCTGGCTCTGATACCAACTGATGCAGACCCTAGTAAGATATTGTCCGCTTTGGGCTACTTCCGCCACCCGTACGGCTTTGTTCTTGGCTGGGCTTCAATACACACCCACCAAAACGCGTCTTACTAGTAAAGGTATCCATATCCTCATATAAGGCCTACTTCGTTTCCTTTCAAACCCGATGTGGGATGCACTGCATCAGAAATTTAATCAAATAAGCTCGAGTTTTTTTTTATAAAAAACTCGTCCTACCAAACGAGCTTTATTTAAATACATGGAGCTTATATGTTAACCAAACAAGCTATAAACTAGTAGCATGTGAAACCCTATTTATAATAGAACGGATTATAAAAATGTAAATATAAAAATGTAAATATAAAGGAGTCGCACACAATTTCAATAAACAAAAGTAAGGAAAAAAATATACATAAATACATTCAAGGAATTTGATGCAATTAACACTTGAATTTATCAAGTAATTATTAGTATCCAAGTCTCAGTAAATGAGCTATCAGCTCCTTTCAGGTTGAGATTCTTTAACTTTAATATTTACATTAATTTATTGAACAAATTAATTAGTGTTAAGTTAGTTAGATCCAAATTAGTAGGAGATTAATCAAACAAAAAGTAAATATTATTTCATCAAATAAATTAATTGAGTAGAAAATGATGAAATACTGTGAGCTTGCATCTTTGTACCAAAACACTGCTCACTCTACACCATCTCCAAGAGCACATAATGCGCTCCCCGCCGATCTCCGGGCGGCGCCACCGCGGCGGAGGCTCGGCCGGTCTAGGAATCGCCGCGATAGCGTACGTCGGCATCGACTACCTCCGCCACATCTCGCCGGCGTGGCACGAGCGTCTGCAGCCGGTCCTCTGGGCAGCGCTCGCCATCGCCGCCGTGATTCGGGTCCCCTTCTACAAGCACTGGTCCACGGAGCTCCGCGCCGCCGTTCCCTTCATCCTCTCGATTCTTTTTATGCTCTCCGCTCTTCTGTTTGAAATGATTTCAGTTCGCTCTGTCACGGCTGTTCTCGGTCTGGATTGGCACAAGTATGTATACCATAAACAAAACTAGGTGTTACATTTGAGGAATTTTGGAGTTTTTTTTTTTTTTTTTTTTTTTTTTTTTTTTTTTTGAAAAGATGTGTTTTGCAGGAGTTATGTTAGCTCAGATTTAGTTGTAATCTGAGAATGATTTTGCTGATTGCATCAGTGATTTATTAGTGTGCAATATGCCCTATGGAGGTCAAGTACTTGCTGTTTTAGTAACATTTGCTTGTTTATTTTTGGGGATTTGGACCAGTGTGATTGAATGTTGCCATTAATAGGATAGTGATAATTTCCAGACTATGGTGTTGTGTTTCTTGAACAAAGGATAATTAAGATGGATCTGATTAAGGAAAAAATGGCTTATACAAGGAAAGTAGTTAAATTTAGCTAGTAGACATTGAAAAACCTTCCATATCTGATCTTTGCCTATACTATAATTCTTGAAATAATCTGCTGGACTTGCTGGTAAAGTGGGGACCTGCTTCTCAGTTGGAATTTGTGTACATTTTTTTACTGGAGTTGGAGTTAAAAGGTTCTCTATCAACATAAATTTGAGCCTTTTAATCTAACTCTTTCTGGTTAATTGTTGAGTATTATAAAAAATAATTATTATTACATTCACCACGAGTGGAAATATATCTCATATATAAAAGCTTTAATCATTATCCCTCGTTCTTTGAACCGTGAAGTTTCGGAACAAAGTTACTGTAAAACGTGCCTTCTAATGCTGTACTATCTTGCATTTGCCATATCATTTGATTATAATCCCTTTTGAATGTATATAACGGGATTTTGTATGTTTTTGTCAGTGGTACACCACCTCTACCTGACGTCGGGCAGTGGCTGCTGTTGGCACTGAACGAGAAGTTACCCCAAATAGCGGTCGATATATTGAGGGCTCGTATTATTGGATTGCACCATTTTTTGATGTTGTTTATAATGCTCGGTTTCTCGGTTTTGTTTGATTCAGTTGAGGCTCCTGGTTTAGGCCTGGCCGCGAGATACATGTTCACCATGGGTATCGGCCGGCTTCTCAGAGCTATAGCTTTTGTGTCGACTATTTTGCCCTCACCTCGTCCGTGGTGTGCATCTGCTCGCTTTCAAGTCCCGGCACATCCTCATTATTGGGCACAGAAGTATTATGTTCCGTATTCTGAAGATTCTAATGCTATACGCCATATCATTCAGCACGATGTAGCTTATGGTCAGCCCCCTTCCACAATCTCTGTATGTGTGAGAGTGTGTGTGTGTGTGTGTGTGTGTGTGTGTGTTCAAAATTTAGCTAGAACTTACATATTGCCTAAGTGATAATCACAAAAGGTGCTACTGAGATTAAGTCTACTTACTGCAATAGAAATGTTCCCCTACCCACGGTGGGCACATGTTAATATGTCCACCGCGTAGGTGGCATGCACTCATTGGTGATGTATTTTTTTAAACATATTAACATCACCAATGAATGCATGCCACCTAAGCGGTGGGCATATTAACATGTGCCCACCGTGGGTAGGTGAACATTTCTCAGTAGTAGAAATGAGTAGAAATGACGGAAGAGAAATAAGTGGCAAGGAGGCATTTGTCATTTGAAAGATTACTGATGTTTCTTTTTTCTTTTTTCTCTTTAAATCCCCCTTTTATTGTGATCAGGCTAAATCTTATATATGTAACTTCACACTTTACCTGATGTAATAGATACCAGAAAAATTCTGAGTCTTTTTTTTTTTTGGTTAACTTTGCTTTTTTGCAGCTGTGACTGCGGATTATCCCGTTGACTTTCAACCAAACTGGGGAGCAATGAACTTTCTTGCTGATTTCCTTCGGCCTACAGCTGCCGAGGCGTCTTCTCCATGGTACCATCTTCTCAAGAAAGCTGGAGGGGGTTGCAATGACCTGTTATACAGTGGTCATATGCTCGTTGCAGTCTTGACGGCTATGGCGTGGACGGTATCTACAAAAATCTAAAAATTCCTTCCTCTTTCTATTATCTTGGGGATGATTATTAAATACATACTAACATTGAGGTTTAACATGATCAAAATACACTCTGATTATGTTTTTACAAGTGCCTACTTGACATCTTTTTATGGAAATCTGCATTTGAGATAAGTACTAAGAAAGATACCCTAACTTCCTCTACGTTCACAATTTTAACGGAACCTCTGAATGCTTGCTAATGGAAAAGTCTCTTGAAATTGCTCTTAACAAAAATTGAAAGTTCAGAGGATTTCATTGCGAAAAAGAAAGAGAAATAACTGAAAAAAATGAAAGCGAGAGCACAGATTGTCGGATGCTCTCAAAAAAAACAAAATGGAAGTTATAGTCTTTACATGCAAATTTTAAAATGATCGAAGTAGCATTATGAAAAAGTGAAAAGTTTTTGAGTACCTTTAGTAATCAACTCTTTCATCATTATAGAAGATAATTCGATTTTTGGTTTGTTATTACAAATGCCTTTCATGACTACTTTCATGAAATGCTACTCAATTATTATTTTTGCAATCATCCCTGTATTTATACTTCAACGAATTTGATTCACATTTTCATTTTTTTTTACATGAATGCAGGAAGCCTATGGTGGCTACAGTTCAGCTCTCATTTGGATGCTTGTGGCCCACAGTGCCCAACGAGAAATCCGCGAACGTCACCACTACAGCGTGGACTGCATTGTGGCCATCTACATGGGCATCTTTTTGTGGAAGATGACGGGCCTTTTCTGGCCCGTTAAGGACAATTCCAGATATAGCCGGCTTGATAAGCTCGAGAAAATACAAAGCAGGCTAGTGCAAGCTGCCAAAGACTCGGACATGGATGAAGTTAGAGAGCTCTTGAAAGAAGTCGAGTTTAGCAGTCAAGCAACCGGTCAGAAACCAAAAAGTCGAGCCATGTGGCTGTTTTCAGGCGCGACTATTTTTTTCGCCATCGTTATTGTTCTTCTTGCGTTCACTTTGACTAGTGATGGCTGATTCGTAACTCGGGATAAAGATTTAGGATTTACTTGTGCGTCATGTAATCTCTTCTTGTGTAGGATTGTATTTGGGACTTGATGTTTTTTGTTTTGGTTTTGTAAAACGACACTGACTAATGGCTACTGATGGGAGACGTTGCAAACTGTAGGCTGAACTTATCTTTTTACGTCAAATCAATTTTGAGTATTTTATTTTAAATATTATTTTAATATAAATTCAAAATTTCACTAGCAACTAACTATACTATTTTTTTAAAATTAATTACAATTAACAAAAAAACTAATCAAAATCAAATCAAATTCATATTCAAAACCTAAACTTTTGAATGTCGATAAAATGGAAATGTTTGTGAGTTGTGACTTGTGACCTTGTTGGGAATTGGGATAGAAGGTCGATAAAATGGAAATGTTTGTGAGCTGTGACTTGTGACCTTGTTGGGAATTGGGATCAATTGGGACCAGTCCAGATTGGAATTGGGGGGTTTAGTTCTATTCACGTCTGTCGTGTTCGGATGTCAAGCCCGGTTCGAGTTAAAAGGGTTTTAGGTTAATCTTGGTAACAATAAAACTCCCAATATTTTTTTTTTCCCAACAATAGAAGGTCTATTATACCACATAAACAAGAACAATACAGATAACGATCAAAGCAGCCGAAGTCGGCGGCCAAATGGAAGAATTGAGAGGACATCCCAAAAAGAGCTTAAAGACCACAACTCATCCTCAGAAAGAAATAATACTAACATTCCACAAGTGGAGAACACAACTCTCACGAGCGGAGAACAAAAACTCCCAAAGGATAACAACAATTCCCATTATTAAGCATAAAAATGTATCATTTCCCTTTTTTTCATTCAAATTTATTAATTTTGACCACACTTTAGTTTAACCTTAAATTTTGGAAAAGATATGTATAAACAAATTGGTTTCATAATAGTTAATTATACTTTAATTTTATTGGAATTATTCATTGTTTAAATTCATTGTTACGAAAATTAGTAAAATTAGACTTCTAGTATAGGAAAGGCTCCAACAACTGTATTCAATTAAGTTTTCTAATGATTTTTTAAGAATTCTGGTGTGTTCAATTTAAATTTGTTAAGACTTTTAAAAATTTTGAGGTATTCAATTGAGATTTTAGAAAGTCTTACAAAATTCTAATGTATTTAATTTATTTGACACTAAGATTTGTTAAGACTTTTTAAGATTTCGTGGGATTTCTAAACAAAAAACCTATACGAAATCTCACTTGAAATCCTACCTCTAGACTTAAGATTTTACAGCATTCCTTCAAAATATGAAAATCTTAAAAAGTCTTAGAATGTCACTTAAATTCCAATTGAATACAAGATTTTTATGAATATTTCATTTTCTCCCTCTTCGCCCCTGCCGAAATCCCTCTTTTGCATCGACCTCGTCTGGTCGCGTTCCAGTTATCCCCCGGCGAAAGTCTGGGATAATCGGAGAACGTGCTCCGCCGCTAACCAACGAATCGGTCTCGCCTCTCCAGTTCAGTCCGTCGCCGTTGGATGCGCCTAGGGTTTGCAGATCCCCTTTTTGCATCAACCCTTTAGGAGCTTCGACGGGAGGGTGCTGGTCGGAGGACGGTGGCTGATGAGTGGGTGAGGTCTTGGGCGCCGTGGTCGGTCTGATGGGCTCGACGCTTCTTTCTGGATCCAGGGTACGATTGCTGTCGATTGGCACGGGTCCGTTCCGCCGGCGTTTTGGCGACTGGGGGAGGTAAGTGTCTTCTCTGGCTTTTGAGAGTCGTGTGATGGCTGCCTTCTATTGTTGCCAATCTGTTTCGGCTTGCTTTTGGTTGCGGCCGGCGGGTGCCTTGGTTTTTTCGACGGGTTGTGCTGGTTTCCATCGGGTCGGGTGGGGTGGCTGGGCTTGCAACCGTCAATTCTCCTCTCTCGACTCTTTGTCTTGAGTTTTGGGTATCTATTCAACTGCCGAAGGCGTTGTGGTTTCGGTGTTTTCGGGTCGGCTCGATTCTCGGCTTGAGGTGTTTGTCGGGTTGGGGATGTGTGTGGTTTCGACAGTTGGAGTGAGAATCGCTATTGGGAGTCTTTCGGGGCTTGGGTCTTCGTGTTCGCTAGGCTTTTGGCAGTGGTGAGTGGGGTTTCTATGCTTTGAATTCTCCAATGGAAGACTTTGTTCGATGTCTATCTTGGAGGTCTCTGCTGAGGGAGGAATGTCTATTAATTGTATATTGTTTTGGCTGATCAATAGATTTTTATTTTATTTTTCTATTAGTCGTGTTTTTAGTTTGGGCATTGGCCCCAGTTTACATTCCTCTGTTGGGGGTTTGTGTTGTTTAGGATGTGTTCTTGATTTGGGCCGTTGGCCCCAGTATCATTACCCTGTTAGGGTCGATATCATTACTCTTTTGGGGTCGGTTTCATTTCTCCCTTTGGGAGCTTAGTTAGTAGTTTGTCTGTGTAGTTGGTTCATGTGTTGGTGTTTGAGTCTTTTTCATTCTAGCCTTGTTAGCGATTCTAGGCGGACCTCGGTCTAGCTTCCCAATTTGTATTTTCGCACATTTGTGCGCTTATCTATAGTACTTCTATCGTTTCGAAAAAAAAAAAGAATAGTTCCTTTTCAGTTATAATAAAGCTCTCAAAATTGCATTATAATATTTTATGAATGTATTTCACAAGTTACTTATAACTTATTAGTTATCTTATGAGTTTATTATTTAAAAATAAAAAAATAAAAAAATGGTTGGATAAACCACTTCTTATTATTATTATTTTTTTTAAAATATTACTTTGTTATGTTCGATAAAACTAGCTAATAAAAACACTTGTAAATCGAGTTTATGTTGATAGCTTATTACTATGATATAAAATTATTTCAATACTACTAAATCAAGCTTATTTAGACGCATAAAGCTATAAAATCAAAAAATAAGTTACTTTTGCGGTGGAGTGGGTGAATCATCGAGTCACCTTTTATTCGAATGTCCATTTAGTTTGGAGATATGGAGGGAGATTCGCGAATGGATTAGCCTACGTCATAGGCCATTGACTCGTCAAGGGGCTCTTAAATGGACTAAAAAGGAGGCTAGAGGGGCTAATTGGCAAACCAAGATGAAGAAAGCGGCGTTTGCGGCAACCGTGTATTTTATTTGGAATGCAAAGAATAGGTTGGTTTTCGAGAATGAATCCCAACCTCTGAGCCTCGTGGTACGTAAGATCAAAACTCATGTTTATCATACTATATTTGTGGTGTATCCGAATGTACTTGTCGAATTTGAGAGGAAAAGTCTTGGCCATAGATAGACTAAAATTTCTTAGGCATGTGATGCGCTACTACTTCTTTACATTTGTGTCACGACTCACGATTAGAGACTTGAGTGAACAACCGACTATGGTTGCCCTCGTAGTATTATTAGTCGTGAGTGAGGAACTGGACTTGTGGTTGCCCGCTGTACTTTTGTATGCCAATTATCGATTATCTGATCCATAATTTTGATCTATAAATTTACTTATTTTTTTTTAAAAAAAATGTTATAAGCTATTAAGCTAACAAACTCCAAACTTTTGAGTATTTTTATCTTCAAAATTTCTTGTCCTTGTTCAATCCGTTCATTTTTGGCATTTGCTCTTTCCTTCCTCAAATTCAGAACAAAGGAGAAGTGAAATGGCGATTTCAGTAACCGCCGCAGCTTCTATCGCCGTCAAAACGCCGTCGTCTTCTCCATCGAAGAGTTGTAATTTTGCTCACTTTTCTTCTCTCCGGCTACCCACAGAGCTTCGAGTTTCCAGCCTTCGGAGCCATTACCTCGGTACTAATCCCCGCCGTCAGGCACTCACGCTGGTAATTATCTATTCTTTCCTGTTAAAGAAGGTTTAGCTGAAAGTTTATTTGGTCTTTGGTCGATGACAGAAGTTTGTTTTGGATTTCTGTTGCGTAATTTTCATGGAGATGTTATGTTCTGAATATTCACCATTTTTTTTTTTGTCTTAACCTTTGCGTTAATGGGTCTGCTAATTTCCGTAATATTTGTTTGTTTTCTGTGTTATGGTGTTGATTTGATGAGTGTTGCTTCAGAGACACTGGTTTGCTTGTGGAAGATGTTAAAATTTAAGGCAATTTGTCAACAAATTTGAGGGAAGTTTAATTTAATTTTTACTTTTTGGTTTCTTCGTCATTTTGGTCCCATTGTTGGACTTTCTGTTCAAAGTGAACCAATGAAATCTCTTGAATGTGTTTCGACTTTCGACATTGCAGTTGAACAAGAATTAGCTTAGCTGCTTGAGGAAAATAGATTTTTTAGTACAGATTTGCAGGTTATTGTTGAGAGCATGATAGCCCTTTGTAATACTTACAAGAAGAATATGGAAATCATTAGAAGCTTTCGGGCTTTAGACTGCTCGAGCAGTGAGCACATTAGCTATGCTTTCAGTTATCTTGGAATCCAATGGCAAGGTTCATAAATCATACATGACTGAGTTCTTCATCTTTAACTGTTAATGTAGGCAAGCACCACAATACAGAGTCCTTTGTTTGATAATGTAATTTCTTGATAGGCATGTCACATGTGGGTTGTATCTATTGATCCCATTTTTTGGTAAACCTCAAACAATGAGTTTTAAGTGAAATATAGAAAGCACGTAATCAGTTAGACTCTATACAAACTGAAGACATAAAAGCAGAACTCCTGTTTGTTGCATATTGTGGATTAGGATTATCATGAGTAGAGTGTAGTTGAATACATTTTATAGGGATATGGAATGAATGATATGAAGAAAAGGAAGCAGGAGATGAATGGATAATAAGGAAAACTCATACTTGACCATAAACTAGGCCTTTTTTTTGTTGGTTTCTTCAGTTATTAAATTCTTTTTCCTTATAACACTCGCGTGTGTGCAACTGCCTACATTTTGTAATTTACTGAAATTCTCTATTATTATTTGGAATAATTTTGTCTCGATGTTGTGGATGGTAAATTTTTTATTTGACATATTTGGGTTTGACTCTCACAGGTTGCAGCAAAGCAGCAGACATATTCTTCCTTTGATGAATTGTTGCAAAAGTCTGATAAACCTGTGTTGGTCGATTTCTATGCTACTTGGTAATGTCTCTAAAGAGTATTTCTTTCCTTTTGGAAGTACGATAAAATAGTAAAATTTGTAATTCATAAAATTGTTATCAACTGAACAATTGGAGGTTTCGAACCTGTAGTTGTATTCATATGCTTAGGTTGCATGTACCTCATGGTGAGTATATGTAAATTTGTCATCTTATAGATATATATGAACATAATTTTTACTTTTTTACTATTTCCAGGTGTGGTCCTTGCCAATTCATGGGTCCGATTCTGGATAAGGTCAGTGGAAAATTGATCGATAAGATCCAGGTAGTGAAAATTGACACCGAGAAGTATCCTAGCATTGCCAACAAGTACAAGATAGAGGCATTACCAACTTTCATTTTGTTTAAGGATGGGGAACCATGTGATCGCTTTGTAAGTGACATGATATTATTGATTGCCCTGTATTAATCTGAACTAAGAATATTAATATTTTTTTCTAGTACAATATTTTTTGTTTTAATTCAAGTTACTTAAGGAACTGTCATTTCTTGCTTCCACAACCCACCAATGCACGCACAAGATCCAAAATATGCACTTCCTGCCTATAACTCACGAAAAGGATTGATTGATAATGAGATAGAGATATGAGACCTTCATGAATTAATTATGTCTTGTTATTTTTGTCCACTGTTGGTAGTTTGTTTCATATTTTACAGTATATATTTGTAAAATTCAGGAGGGCGCATTGGGTGCTGATCAGCTCATCCAACGCATTGAGGCTTCACTGCAAGTTAAGAAGTAGTCGAATTTGGGGGTGAGTTTGTTTGCCTAATAAAAGAATTAAAAGAATGCATGATAAAATAATTAAAAGAACTAGAGAAAACAATACATTTATTAAGTTAGTCAAACTAACTTCGCAGAGCTTTCTGTGATGATTCTCCAATTGCAGGACACGGGCCACCTTTTCTAGGGACAATGTTATGCCCTCTCATTTAGTAAAGATTGCCGATTCTTCTATTTGATATCTCTACGAAGCAAGACATTTTCGAAATCGTTACTAATGTTGGCTATGTATAGACATTTTTATGTTCGGAAATGAATCTCATAACAAGGAGATCTATTAAAGCAGTTGGATACTTTTCTCTCTTTTTTTTTTCTTTGGTTATGCCATATGCCTGATAATATACGACAGCTGCTGATGCTTTTTATCAATGAAACTAAAGTTGTTCTTCCTTGAACTGCTCTAAATTTTCATTCTTCAGGAATATCATCATATATACTCATCATCCATAAGTTCCCATGAACCATCTGCTTTCTGCACCATGCTTTTGTTCTTCTCACACCACCAATCAACCGGCACACAGTACTCATCCTTCAGCCCGTCCATATGCTTGTTAATGAGAGCAATATCTCGCCTAACCGACAATTCAAAATCCCCATTTTGCCCCTGCGTGCCGGCTACCCCATGCAAGTAAGCCTCCAAGCTATGCCAACTCCCAACATCCCCTTTCTTCAGATAACTCGACTTTCCAGTATCAATGGCCAGCTCTTTCCCTACCTCTGCATACCCTATCCCGAGCGTGGGATATTTTGGGACGACATCCCGAGAATTTGCGACACGTAGGATTTTGAGGCCCGTTAGGTTTTGTGCAAAAGCCCGAAAACTTTCGTCCCCCACCCGCGGGCTTGCGAACAGGAAGGCCGTGACTGGACATTCCTTATCGGGCTGGGTCGTGGGCTTGTTGTACCCGTTGGCAACAATGTCGACCGCGTTTAGCGTCGAAATTGCCGCCCCTAAACTGTGCCCGGTTATCGTTATGCTTATATCTTCGTTCTTGTAGTGTTCCACCAATCTCTTTACCTCTTCAAGAACCTAATCAATGGAATTAGATTTTTTTTTTCTTTTTTTTTTTT